TCAGTGATAGCGTTTTCGTATATTTAACGAAAAATCGGACTACGATGGATTCATGATAGCCCAGAATAGTTTTGCTTTGCTTTGGGGTTTGGCTTTTTGCATATGTACATACTTATATTTTTCTTTCATTTCATATTATCTATTAGCATTTTTATCACTTTTTAATTTAACCAATTTTTCTATATACGATAAAAATCAACAGATTAACTCCTTTTAATTATTTAATAGGCGCTTGAAGTGGATGAGGCTCCTGGGAGTGGACGTTAACTCGAAGGCCAAGGAGTTGTATGCGTGCCAGAGGCATTTTTCTCCGAAATATCGAAATCTTAGGAAGCTATCAAAAGGGGCTATCCCCGATATGAATTTTTGCGCATCCACAGTGGGATTAGCATTAGATAATTTAGCGGGACACTCGGGTATAAGTGAACAAGTCACCCCAGTAGTTTTTTCAACCCAAATGGGAGAAGGGGAGGCTCTTCAACCCACTTTTTGTGAACTTGAGCAGCTAAACGAACACTCATTTTTTCAAAAGATGTGGGCTTAATATGAGCCGTAGTTAACTTAGGCGCACATCGTATACCACGATGGGTATCCTGTTGATGAAAATGGACAATATCTGCCCATTGAACAGGATTTCCGCGAAAATTAACATTGTTTTTGTTATTTTCGATGCAGTTCCGTGAACTCTTTAGCAGATGGGGGGAATCAAAGAAAAATACGATCTTCTCACCGTTAACTTCGAAGTATGGCCTATCTTCTGCAACCCCTACAAGACGAGCGAAGTTAACAAAATTTGATCCTTGATCACAGACGAATTGGCAGGTATGAAGACCAATTCCCTGGAGTTGAACTATAACCTCAAATACATATTTCCTTAACACATCACCCTTGCACGAGCTGTGCACGAAAAAATAGGCAACGGGCTGTCACCAAGGGGCTCCCCCAACGCCTTGGGCCATAATGCATAAAACACTATTCGCTATTCTCGACGTGCGATTTTCATCGCCATAGTCTTCTAATCCTATGATAAAATCTCTACTCTTGTCATATTTCAAGTGGGTCTTCAAAGACATTTCGTCACAGCATAACGAAATGTACTTTTGTTCACGAGTGAAACCTCGGCTTCGCAACTCCAGGGATCTAATGCTGCTAGAGGAACAGCCAGGGAGCCTAGGCCAACCTTTAATAAACGTGGAAAGTGTGGTTGGGGAAGGCCAGTGAAAAAGGGGTCTCAAATACCTATACGCTAAAGGGGACGTGAACCTAACTCCTAAGACAATAGTTTGTAAGCTTCTATCGAAGCGCCGACCAGAAGGTTGTCGGCCATCATTCCTCATGCAGTTTCTCACACATACCGCGAGATGTGGAGGAATTTTGCTGCATATAGCTTCAATTTGCCTGTTATTCTGCCGCTGAACAGACAAACCTGGGGTCATCAATTGTGAAATTTCTACGTCCTTTTCTACTAGCCTTTTTTTTAATACTTCTATCTCTTCCTGATATTTACGCTTTCTAGGAGAGTCTTCGCTAAGATGTGCCTCTGTCTGCGTCTCTTGGCTACGTACCCCATAAGTTGAATTTCCTAAAGAAGAACAAGTTGGATGTTCACAAAAAGTGGGTTGAAGAGCCTCCCCAATACGGTCGCTAGTGCAATGCTATCTCTTTATAGTACCGGGAATCTTAACACGTCTCAATCTCCAAGCTTCTTAAATACTGACGAATTCGTTCTATTCTTCGACCAACTCTTTAATATTTTCAACAGTAACGGGATTGGAGCCCTCCGTAAATTTGGTCAACCCTTTTCAGGTAGCATGGAACAATTAGATTTTTTGAAAGAAGCCGAACGAACCCTTCGTTCAATAACTGTTCATGATAGACTATTTGGTCGAGATATCACGAACAATTTTTCCTTTATTAAAGGCTGGCTTCTGAACATCCAAAGTTTGCGACGCTTGTGGCTTATATTGTCACACCATGAATTCGAGTATATAAGAACCAGAAGACTCTGCCAGGACGAAATAGAACATTATTTTGGTCAGATTAGAAGGGGTGGTGGATTAAATCCAAGAACAACTCCGTGCATGTTTTCAGATCTTTTCAGGCAATCCTGGGGCCTAAGACATGTAAATTTTGTTACAAGCGGTAATTGCGAACCTTTGCATAGCGCCGAGTGGGAATTTTTTTCGTTTCGCACCCTTGAAAGGGTGTGTAATGATCCTCTGATTCAAGACACTTCCTGGCAAACCTTTCAAAGTTTGCCCAGACCTAACATACATGACGGTATAAGAAACGGTATAGATGTCGATGTCGTTGAAAGCGACTTCCTGCAAAGGAACTCTTTTGCGTATTTCTGCGGATATATGTATTTTGAATATAATAAATTACATACTTGCTTGGAGCCATTACCCCGATTTGATGAAGGTGAAATTCCGGAAGAAGCATTTACTTTCACTAAAGAAAAGGAGTATGACAATTTAAATCGCGTGAAAGCTCCTTCTGGATTCATCGAGTTTCTTACAAAACTCGATGAAGTGTTAAACGAAAACTTCGATTCTTGTTGCCATTTAATTGGATTTTCAAAAGCATTATTTGAAAAAATGAGTGGCATAGAACCATATTATTGCTGCAGTAATTCAAATCCCGATATTTTAAAACACCTTTTTATTAGAATCAGGACATATTTTTCTTTAAAAATTTTTAATAAAGAGGCATGTCCACCTGAATTTAAACATACAAAATTTTTGTGTATTTCTCACAGGTAGTTTATATTTTTTTAGTAGAATACGCACTCATTTTTTTAAGAAGGAAGGTTATCAATTTATATTTTTTTTTTTTGATTTTTTGTTTTATTTTGTTTTTTTTTTGAATTTTACCAGATAATTTGGTACCTCACGGGTAGTCTCATGCTAATTTGGTTTTCTGCCGATCATTGTCATGAACAAATGAACAGTACTCCTAAATTTTTATGCATATGAGCATTGAAGTCGGTATTTTTTGCTTAAAAGTACTTATTATTGAGATACAGTTTCGCTACTCTTAACAGACTTCTCGACATACTTGTTAACATTTCTCGGGATTTTTGTTATTCTTCATTATTTTTATTATTAGTCATTTATAGGTTTAGGACTTACTGTGGGTGCTTTAAAATTCATTTTGTAAATATGTATATATAAAAACGATTGTGATATTTTATTTTGAATTATGAATTTTATTCGCAAAATTTTTTTATGTTTACTAGTTTTAAGAAAATTTGTTTTTTTGTTGTTGCATTCTTTTATTGCATGCTTTAAAACATTTTTAATTTAAGTTATATTGGTGAAGATAGGCCTCCTGGGGAACCGAACACCTTTAAAAAATCGGTAACGCGCCTATATGCATACCTCGAAGGTCATGTGGAAAGTGCGTTCAAAAATTATTACAATTGTGTATTTATTTATTTATTTGTTGAATTAAATTTATAATAAATTATAATATTTAATATTTAATTTCTTATATTCTTAATATGTAGTGCGAAAGCATCCACTCTACGATGTATACAATAAGAATTTGTATTATAATTTGAAACGTATTCTTTTATTGCCTGCCTATGTACCCAAAACGTATGAAAAATTTTGTTGATTGGGTGCTAAAACCCAAAGCCTCAGAATGTAAGCTTTTAAACTCAGGAGAACTGACTAAAGTATTTTTAACTTACATAAATTATATGAGCTAACTAAAAAATAAAATCATTTAGCGTAGAAGGAATAAAATATTTATCTGCTTTTAAAGTTTAAATGGTTTAAATAGTGATTTTTAGCTTTATTTTATGCAATCTTTTGATTTATAACTCTCAGTCGTAACTATAGCTTACTTCATATATAATCCCAACAAGCATTCCAGTAAATGTTTTTAAAAATAACTTAAAGTAAGTTTGCTATAATAAGCGTTAAATAAGCATTTTACAACGCTTTTATCAACTTGCAATGTTGTGTTCCAGAAACTTTCAATGTTGTGTTCCAGAAACTTTCAATGTTGTGTGTCCGACACCATAAAGCAAAGCTTTGAAAAGCTCCTATAAAAAAGCATAGTGAATAGGGCGAGGTAGATGACATCTAGATGTCGCCCTATGTACTACGTTTGCTACACCGGAAATAGACGACACGCCATTTCTTTAAATAAAATTAATTGGTGCTCGTTTGTATGTACATACATATGTAAATGCATGTGTGTGCACCTTTCTATTAATATCGTTGAATTATCTTAATATCTATTGCAAACTTTTATTCAGACAGGACTAAAAGGTAGAAAATAAATAATATAAAAAAAAACTTTTTAATATACAACGCTTTTATAAATGGACTAAAAAGTAGAAAATAATACTTCTCAGTCCCATAGAATTTGTTTTGATAACTTTTGATTTTGAAATTTTAGCAAAAGTCATTATAAACAATCTATGAAATTGAAAATGAAAAGCGTGGGGCGCATGTAATAACCATATTATAAGTTTACACTTTTACGCTTAAAAAAAGCTTTCTTTTGAACATTAATACAAGTTTATATTTCTACGCTTATAACAAATGTTCCTTTTCGATTATTTTACGCTTACTTTCAAGCGTTTTATAAACAAAAAATCAACGTTTTGTAAGCCTAATGTTTATAATTGAAAGCTTAAAAAAAAACGTTCTTTAAGCTTATTTTGCTTGTTGGGTATCTTTTATGTACATATACATACATAGTTTGAGTTTGTTGCATTAGTTTTATTAGCTTATTGTTTGTTAGGCTTAGCGACTCTTTGTTTAACGCCACTCAGAGCACCTTTCCGTGCTCCATTTACGATATTCTTAAATGCGTCTGCATGTTTTGCTCGTTTTCTGTCAAAAATTTGTATATTTTTGTTAAATAAGTAACGTTTAGTATAATTACCATCGAATAACTTACCTTTTGTTTAGCGTATTTCGACTTAGTGGTATGTACGCGAAGGGATCGAGCTTGCCCTTCTTCTTCATATCGCCGTTATGTTTCTTAGTTGTATACTCGCTGCCGGCGTATGCTGAAGCCGCTGTAGATTTGCCAGATTTGGCCGACTTCGCAGAGTAACCTGGATTTTATTTATATTGCGTCACTACCGGAGGCGCCTAAGGGCCGATGAATACCTTTGCCACCGGCTACATATTTTGAAGCTGAAGTCTTACCCGAACGCATACTAATCGCATCGGTAGCTTTACGTTTGCGGCTTGTAGCTGGAAGTTCCTCCTCTTTTGTTTCTGTATTAAAGAGTGCGATAATAAGAGTAAATCACTTTTATGACTCCTTAATATAATCAAGGTAGACATACCATCACTATGGTCAACTTCCATGCCGCGTTTAGGCGCTCGTTTTGCTTCAATCGCCTCGTCATCATCATAGCCACTTTCGCTGCTGCTGCTGTTGTCATCACCCCCAGCACTTCGCAATGCTTTATCACTTATAATCAGTCTTCCATCCTCGGCGGTTTTAAAACCACGATTCGGATCCTTATTTTTGGATTTGGTGCTTCCTGCAGCACTTGCGGCTTCACCTGGGATACGAACTTAGCACATTTCCTATGGACTTAATGTCAGCTAAATCGACAATATCCTCTGGGTCTTCACGTTTAGTTCAAAGTGCTGTTGCGTTTTGGCTTCCTTTTCTCAGCTTTATTAGGCTCGCGATTATCCGCATCCATATCTTTTGGCAAATCAGAACCGAAATCTGCAAATATGTCATCAATGCTGCAAGCATGCATTAAAAATAAATAGGTTCTTTTAAAGGGAACTTACGTTATGCTCTTCTTTTCCAGCCCAGCGACGAATTCATCCCCTGAATCGTCGTCATTGGTCTTATCTTTTTCGTTCAATTGCTTTCTATTTTCACGACTCCTTTGCTCCGTACTTTCTACAGGCGCCGATGCGTTACTTCATCATCACCAGGCACAAATTTAATTTGCTCTTCAGCTGTGAATTTATGGTCTGAAAAGAAAGAAATTTGCATTAATTCATTGTAAATACACGAAATTAATAAATTTCAATCATTTGTTTAGCTTTTCACAAACCGAATTACCAAGAAATAGAAACTCACCGCGATGCGATACAGAAATAAAAACCAACAGGGCTGCATTTTTTTGGTAAAGTACATTTCACCACAAGCTCTCAGAGCATTCCGATCCACAATATTATTTTGTGAAAAATAAGACTTGAAAAGAGTTTTTACACATGATTATCATATTATTTAATTAGTGTAAATTATTGTGTTTATTTTTAGTCTAATATGAATGCCTTATCTCAGACTTTTTTTCAATGTTTTCTAATATTCGTTCTTTTAGCGGCAGATGCAACCATGTGCTCAATTTTTTGCGTCGAAAGTTTATCCCCATAAAGGACTTCACCACGAAACAAGTTACAACAACAAACACCTTTTCTACTGGTATACTGTGTTTTACATACGTGTTAAGAAAAATTTTGTATCGGCTAAGATATTAGCCATCCGCTGAACAAATAAACCAGAATTATAAATGTGATCATAATTTGTACTAAATTAACGAAATCTTTTTACTCAATATCTCGGAAACTAAAGATGCCATACGTCCCCGTTAACAAGGGACATGTACCTGTTTCGGATCCTTTGCCCCCGTGTAATCGTTTACAAACATAATGGCCCGTTTAATGCTTGGGACAACAATAGGAGCGTTCCTTATCTCCCAGAAATAGTCAGAAAAAGTCCGAAGTTGTCAGATTTAGTCCAAAAAGCGTTCCTTAACTCGAAAATGACAGCAAAAGTGAGAGAGCAACACACAGTGAGAGTGACTCTCATTAGTCCGAAGTAGTCAGATTTAGTCAGAAGAATTTTTTCTGGCAAAATCCTGAAAAGTGTCAAACTCAACTGAATTTAAATTAACGGAAATTAAAGAATACGCAAAAAGTGAGAATAATCCAGAAAGTAAAAAAGTGAATTCAAATTGGAAGGAGGCAAAAAATAATTGATATAGTAGGTGTTTATTGTCCTTGTGCTTGTGTGAATGTGTTTTGTACATACATTTCCATTCTTATTTGACGTTAGCTTTGTTGTTGCCATTCTTTGGTTTTTTGCGTTCCTTTACTTTTCCTGTTATTCTCTTTTAGTGAGCGCATTTTGCTTACGCTCTGGCATTTTGACACTTTTCAGATTTTAGTCCAAAAAGATAAGGAATGAACCTAATATATAGTTTGCATTTTTAAATTTTAAATGGATAGCGGAAAATTGTTTAGGCTATCAGAGTCGAAAGTGAAAAGTAAACAATTTTAGGCGAAAGTAAAACTCATGATAACGCTTCGTTTACATAAATGTTTCTGAAAAGTAGGCGTCCAGACAATTATAGAGGAAATACACTTTGCAGCAAGCGTCCAGACAATTATAGAGGAAATACACTTTGCAGCAACCGCCGCACAGTGCGTAATTTCGGCGATTTAGGGGCAGGAAAATCGATAATCGAAGTTGTTAAAAAAAGAATCCTTCAATTATTTGAGAGGAAAAATTGTTATTATATCCGATGAATGTTATGAGGAAGTAACTTATTTAAAATCGCTTATTGAAAAATGTTCATTAAAGTGGAAAGAAATGCCGCCCTTAGAAAAATTTAGTTTAATTTTTAAAGATACTATTGAACACGAACGAAAAGCAAACTTGTTAAAATTTTTGCAATATATATGTACGTGCAATCCCTTCTCACAATGCGAATGTTGAGCTAGTTTTTTCTCTTATTTCATCACATTGGTCTAAGGAGAGAAACACGCTCAACATTGGCACTGGGGAAAGTATAGTTCAGTGCAAGTTCAACTTTAAAATGACGTGCGCTGAATTTTACCTTTATGTAAATTAATAATATAAAAAAAAAAACTTTTTAATGTACAACGCTATAAATAACGCTATATAATAATATAAATGGACTAAAAAAATAGAAAATAATAATTCTCAGTCCCATAGAATTTGTTTTGATAACTTTTGATTTTGAAATTTTAGCAAAAGTCATTATAAACAATTTATGAGATTGAATATGAAAAGCGTGGGGCGCATGTAATAGACCAGAATTGATGTGAACGGTATATGTATACATATGTATGTATGTGGATATATGAATAACGACCGCTTAAAATCGATCTCAAATTTGTACTTTCTCTATAGAAATTTTAGGTATATGTTATGTAGTTTGACTATTGTCAATTAAATCTAAAGCGCTGGCTATTCTTACATTGCAAGTGCAAGGCATAGAGAAGCAGCGCATGTGAAGCTGTGGTGTAATTATACTCGGCATAGAACGCATAATCTCCAAGAATCAGCTGTTTAGTGTAATCAATTAGTCTGTTCCAGTACTGCAGCATATAGTTAGGAAGACATAACTGAAGAATGTAGTCGACACTAAAGGTATTTGCTGCTTTTTGTCGTAATTTTCAATGAAATGGCGGCACTTACTTTATAATCGACTTTGTTTCGACTATAAATATGCCCCAATGTATGTACAAGAGCGACTCCCCAGTAATTTCTGTAAATATGTTGGGTACTGGAACAGACTTATGAGAGCAATGAGAGCGGCACCTCTCTTTGAAAATGTCACATAGCGAAAAATCAAAATTCTCTAGACATCTCTCTCATGCCCTGTCACGCCCTGTCACGCTCTGCGTCGGATAATCGCTTGTATGCAAAGCTCATTAAACAGATTCCATATGTGGCAGTACTCATGTTATGCACTGCAGTAAAATGCAAGTATAACCAGCGCTTAATGCTTTGTATTGCATGCGCCCCACGCTTTTCATTTACAATCTCATAAATTGTTTATAATGACTTTTGCTAAAATCTCAAAATCAAAAGTTATCAAAACAAATTCTATGGGACTGGGAATTATTATTTTCTACTTTTTAGTCCATTTATAAAGGCGTTGTATATTAAATAGTTTTTTTTGTTATATTACCTATTTTCTACTTTTTAGTCTTGTCTGTATAAAATTTTGCAATAGATATTAAAATAATTCAACTATATTAATAGATTGGTGCACACACATGCATATACATATGTACATACATACGAGCACCAATTCATTTCATTTAAAGAAATGGGGTGTCGTCCATTTCCGCTGTAGCGTACGTTGTGCATAGGACCACTTCTACCTCTCGAATCAACGAGGTTTATATCTAGACTTTATAGGAACTTTGCAAATCATATTGCAAGTTGATAAAAGTTGATAACAGCGTTATACAAAATTTGAGATCGATTTTAAGGGATCGTTATTCATATACCCACACACAACTTATCGCCTCGAGCCACCGAATTTAAACACACCGCGTCGGATGGTCAAATGAACTTACGGAGTTTATTTACTTTCCATTTTTATAAAATTTTTCACTTACTTGCTATATTCAATGCTACAATAAAGTTGTTGTTTTATTATTTACTAATTCTTAATTAAATACGTAACAAAAACCGCGAAGTCTGTTCTGCCTTTTCCAAGTTGGATAGGGAAGCAAAGCGAAAGCACACACATGCATATACATATGTACATACATACGAGCACCAATTAATTTCATTTAAAGAAATGGGGTGTCGTCCATTTCCGCTGTAGCGTACGTAGTGCATAGGACCACTTCTTCCTCTCGAATCAACGAGGTTGATATCTAGACTTTATAGGAACTTTGCAAATCATATTGCAAGTTGATAAAGGTTGATAAAAGCGTTATACAAAGTTTGAGATCGATTTTAAGCGATCGTTATTCATATACCCACACACAACTTATCGCCTCGAGCCACCGAATTTAAACACAACGCGTCGGATGGTCAAATGAACTTACGGAGTTTATTTACTTTCTATTTTTATAAAAATTTTTCACTTACTTGCTATATTCAATGCTACAATAAAGTTGTTGTTTTATTATTTACTAATTCTTAATTAAATACGTAACAAAAACCGCGAAGTCTGTTCTGCCTTTTCCATGTTGGATAGGGAAGCAAAGTGAATGGGTCTGGTGGTAAACGAGGACAAGACGAAGTATCTCCTGTCATCAAACAAACAGTCAGCACATTCGCGCCTTGGCACCCACGTCACTGTTGACAGTTACAATTTCGAGAAAGTAGAGAATTTCGTTTACTTGGGAACCAGCATTAACACCGATAATAATGTCAGCATTCAAATCCAACGTAGAATCACTCTTGCCAACAAGTGCTACTTTGGACTGAGTAGGCAATTCAGGAGTGAAGTCCTCTCTCGACGTACGAAAACCACGCTGTATAAGTCACTCATCATGCCCGTGCTGGTATATGGCGCAGAAGCATGGACAATGACAACATCCGATGAGGCGGCTCTTGGAGTGTTAGAGAAAAAGATTTTGCGGAAGATTTACGGGCCTTTACGCGTTGGCGACGGCGAGTACCGCAGACGATGGAACGATGAGCTGTATGAACTTTACAACGATATGGACATAGTGCAGCGAATTAAAATACAGCGGCTGCGCTGGCTTGGTAATGTCGTTCGAATGGACACCGACGCTCCAGCTCTGAAAGAATTCAACTCGGAACCCGCTGGTGGTAGCAGAGGAAGAGGGAGGCCCCCACTGCGATGGAAATATCAGGTGGAGAAGGACTTGGCTTCACTTGGCGTTTCCAATTGGCGTCAGTTGGCACAGAGGAGAAACGACTGGCATGCTTTGCTGAACTCGGCCAAAATCGCTTAGGCGGTTACAGCGCCAAAAAAGAAGAAGAAGA